AATAATAATAATAATAATAATAATAATAATAATAATAATAATAATAATAATCTATATTACTATATTATTACTATTTGAATAATACTTGCCCAGAAAATATGATGGGTTCGCTGCATTTCTGACAATTTGAAAAATAGTCCAGGACTTTAAAGGTGTGCTATTCTCTTACATAATACTGGACCTGTTAGCTTTGGAGGCGCTTTTTAAGATATGATCATGACCAGCACAAGAGAATAACAGAATTGGAAGGGACCTTGGAAGTCTTATAGTTCAACTCCCTGTTTAAGCAAGAGACCGTATACTATTCCAGATAAATAGTAGTCTAATCTCTTCTTAATACCTTCCAGTGACAACTTCTGGAGGCAAACTGTGCCACTGATTAATTAATTAGTTAGGAATTTTTTCTTGGTTCTAGATTGAATCTCTCCTTGATAAATTTCCATCCATTATTTCTTGTCCTGCTTTCAGCTGCTTTGGAGAAAAGGTTGACCCTCTCTCCTTTGTGACTGCCCATTAAATATTTGATACCAATCTTCTGTGAATAGAATACACAGAACTTGAAACTTAAGCATTGCTGTACAATCATAAGCAATAGTAGTAAAAAAAAAAGTGGTAGCAGATTGAGAGGAGAAACTCAGATCCAGGGCCTAAATTATGCATGACCATTAAAACAAGGGAAAAGTCTGCATTTTTTCCCATCTAGATCTCGGTCAAATGTCTGAAATAGAATTTGTGTTTAAAACTGCTTTCAAAAATAAAGAAAATGCAAGTGAAATTTGCATGGGTGAACTACAGTACTTTTGCATGTATAACTTATGAAGTATTTCAGGGATGTGCGTAGATGTTATTTTCATCAAGCTATGGTTTCTCTGTCATCCCATTTGTTTCTTAAAACCTAGCCCTTGCCTTTGTTGATTGTGGGAAATATGGCCAACCAGAAAGAGTCCAAAATGACAGAAAATGTGTAACGAAAACAACACTATGAGTAGTAAGGAGGGGTAGAAAAAAAAGTAATGACATGCCATCATTACAAACGATGCAAATCACATAATCTTCATCATTTGCATAACAACCATTGTCATTATTGTGACAACCACTGAATGCCTAACAGCAGCAATCTCTACAACCTGCAACAATAAAATAATCACTAAGAGAAATTTGAATGAAATTCTCAACAATTCTGAGAAAAAGTTAAAAAGTATCATAAGGCAAAAGTATCATAAGGCAGATTTCAGTGAATCATTAGAACCTGTACAAAGGGCTTTGGATATCAGTAATAAATGTTCTCGGGAACAGGGAAATTTCTTCCCTGCAATTGTTAGCTATAGATCTCAACCTGCAAACATTTAACACAATTCAATTAAGTTATACCTATTGGGTTTCCTATATTCTCCAAGCTT